AATGCCTTTAATCTTTTCTATGAGGGAAAATTAGCACTTAAATTTAACCTGAAAACAGCAGATGCCTACCCTTGGCTGGTTAAGGATATTTTGAGTCCTAATAATGACGTATTAAGATAATAATAATAATAATAATAATAATAATTATATATTTATAATGCACAAATTAACATGTGGATATGATCATATGCGCATCACAACACTTTTCGGGGGACTTTGGCCGGACTGCATCAGTAGTTTACAAACAATCGAAGGAAACTTATTTGAAGATGCCCCCTCCCCCCAATTCCCAGTAAACAGGCCAGACCACATCACAGTAATCTCGTGAGTGGGTTCTTTAACGTCCCCTGCCTAACCAAATTAACTAATTAATAGATGGCAGGAGACGGTTACACCAGTTAATTACAAGTGACAGTGGCCAACTCAAAAGCTTATGCTCCTTTGGTCACTGTGCACATTTTACTTAAGATTATTCATGTAATTTACTGTTCTTATATATTCTAACTTTTGTAATCTATAGCAATCTCTACTGTAACCTCTTGAAATAGTGCGAATAAATGAATGAATGAATGAAGTATGAGATGACGATTATGGTTTGCTTCAATACTTCACTACTAAGGATCTTAATTCACCAGTAAGTATCCCAGATTTACAGCCAATAATTATAAATCATCTCTCAGCTTTAATTTTATACTTGAGATAATTATAGGTAATTCAAACATCACAAAAAGCTTCACAGTGTTGATCCTTATCTTTTTTTCATGGTTGATCGATTGATTTGTCATGTAATCCACATGAGTTTGTGATACACACATTGTTTTAAATGAACACAAAGACAGGATGGTCAGGAACTTGATAATATAACCCTTTCCCACTGCAGCTGTGACTGATTATTACTAACCTTAGCTCCACATCTTCTGTAAGGTACATCTGCTACAAAGCCTAACTCACTGTCAACAACTTTGCGAACTTCTTCAATCTAAAATATGACAGCAAAGTTTAAAAAAAAATCAGTGATAACAATAATAATTATAAAATAATAATAATTAAAACACAAAATTCAAAGAACAGCCATATCAGGATTTTCAAAAGATTCCACTTTCAAATTTATTTCTCAGTATAATTCCAATTGATCCAAGTTGAGAAGCATTTTTAAAAATTCTATTTCCTTTCTCTGTTACCCTGTTTGTTTCCTTCTTGCTTCAGGCAACTCATAAGGTCTCTTATTTTCATACTCATAAAATCAAACTAGGAGGTTCACAGCCCATAACCATCTTTTCATTGCTCCTATTTGCTACTGTAGCTTGTTCAGGGCTCCTACCAGACCTTTATAACAACAAAGCAAGTCCTTGGCCACTGTACTTCACCCTTACAGGCAGTCCCCTATTCTACTGTTGCCCATAATTATCCAAAACACAAAGACATTAGGGACTGGTTATTTACACACGGTCTAATCCAAACTACAATTTTAGGCAATCAGTGGGCCTCAGTTTTTCTCTGTAAGAGGGTTAATTTGATCAAATGAATGTTCTTTCCACAGTTAGCTTTTGGCCCTCTTGACACTGTTCACAGAAATAAATGTTCAGATAAAAGATTTGGGTAAATTGAAGATGGCGAAGAATGGTTTTTTGTCAAACAACAACAACAAAAAAAACTGTTCATTAAAAAACTGTTCACAAAAATGAATGTTCAGGCTGATATTAGGTTGGGTTAAATTGAAGATGGTTTATTAGAATGGGTGTTTGTCATACAACAACAACAAAAAAAGCAAAACTCCCTGCAAAATCAACACATTTTCAAAGATATAATGTGACAAGAAGAAAGAAAAATAACAGCTTGGTGCATGTTGCTTTTTTATTACACAACTCGGGCAGTCAGAGGGCCAATGACTAAAATCAACCAATCAAAATGCTCTATTGCCGGTCAATATTCTCTCAGTATTGGACCGGGCACTGTCCCGAATGGTCCCGAATGATACCGCACTTGTGTCCCTTTGAACTTCAGTCGTATAATAAGTCTCTCATTAACCAAGCTTGCTTGGCACTGCACTGGAAGAATATCAGCCTTTGGTCTTTTTTGTAAGGACCTTGCTGCGCTCAGTCCGTACTGTCAAGACCTCAGGCCGATGTTCTCCCAGTATGGCCCTCGCACTTGGTTAACAAGATATATATCAATACCAAGCTTCCATTGGAGAACTGATAGGAATTGAATGTATAGGGTCAGGGTTATAGTTCATCGAACCTTTTTGAGGTGAAGGCGTGGATCATCTGGGCTGACCATAATCACCCTGCCATCATGATACTCTTTAACCACACATTCATTTTTCCAGCCCTGACAAATAAAATATAAGATATTAAACTTTACTTTATTAGATTTTGAAAACTAGATTACAAATGTGCTTTCTTTAAACAAAGATGAAGGATATGTTTCGATACTGGTGAACCTCTCTTTTGAGAGCACACTATTTAAGGGCAAACTCTGGTCCTGACAAGGATTTTCTCTTGTTTATCCTTGCCAATTCAGAGCCATAGAAAACCTCTGCCTCTGCTGACAGTGTTAAATTGTCACAAAATGTAAAGATTGAAAAAAGGTTTTAGAGGTGCAATTTTTTTAAGAGGGAGATCTAAAACATTTTTCAAGTCTTGCATGTATAGCTTAACTTGTCAGTGAAGCTAAAGGATTTTAAGATTCAATTTGCTATTTTAGGTACTTGTATATAACTTACTGTAAATTTCAATCCATTGACAAAGCTCTTGTGGTGTCTAATGTGAGCAGCTTCATCATCAGGCTGGGCTCTGGTATATACCATACCACAGGTCGGGCATGTTACATGTCCAAAGTCTTTTTGGCCCAAGTCCTGATAACAAAAAGTAAAAAATATAGTGAAAAAAGGTTGCATTTTTTAACAAGTAATTATGGTTTTATCAACTCAATGTAAATTGGTTACCTTTACGGGTTTCGAAGCTGACGTTTGAGCGTTAGCCCTTGTCAGAGCCAATGAAAAAGGGCTAACGCTAAAAAAATCACTCTTTACAGTGGCCCATTTACATTATCAACTCAGTTGATCAAACCACAGTAACTTAGTATACTCCCCCACTAATGCAGCATCACTGTTTCTTTAGAAACTTACCCCCCCTATCTATTCATTGACAGTTTTTAAGATAAGTAAAATACAGCTATTACTGCATGAGTCAACTCTGATGAGGATTGCTCAATCACATGCAATCTACCTTATTGCCAAATGAAGATTAGCAGTATGTAGTTAAAACATCATGTTCCCTCTTCTAAGTGTTTGGATCCTGAGACCAACAATGATATTTCACAATAAAGCAAAGTACATGTGGTAGACTAAAGTACAATATCCAAAGAAACTTTAGTATATGTACAAGTCTCCATTCAAAACAAGTGGTTTTTATGCCTCTAAATAAGAAGATGGGATCTTTCTTTCCAAAATCACAGCTTCATAATCAAACAAACCATTTTCAACTCACCAAATACATTTGCTCTTGCTTTTTTCCGGACTTTTTCTTTCCTGGAGTGATCCTGATAAAATTGCAAAGTATATTTTCAGCTATTCCAAAACTGAACATGCCTCTTTATGGAACTATTCAGAGCATGTTTTCTGTTTAAGAGCATGTTTTACGTCTAACCACATGCTACAGTTTTTCAATAAAAGAAAAGAAAATGACTGGAACAATAGATCAACTTTGGAACTAAGGCTTTGTTTCACATAGAATGCGGCTATACAGAAATATTTTCCTATCGAGTCACAGCATCAAATACACTGTCAGTAGCCATTAACTTGACCAGCGATGCATATCTCTGAGGCCGAAAGTTTATCATATTAAACACGTAGACTTTTTGAAACAAATAGTATAAGCTAGTCTCTGTGATACCTAAACATGCAGCTTTGAACCCTTTACCTGTATTTGCCCTCAGGTGAATTTCCTACAGAGGGGTGCATTGATGAAGAAGGAACACCATTTGCAATAGTCTTTGTTTTGCACTTTGGACCTGGTAATGTTGCAAAATATCTCGTAATAGAAGCTTGATGCTCAGGAGAACTTTTGGATGAGCCTAATTCCTCTTCCTTGCCTGACAATTGCTGTGTAAAAACACTTTCACCAGTGTCTGGAGATGGCGTTGAAAGTGAAATACTTGACTGCGAGTCACTTGCATTTTCATTGCAATCCAGTATTGTCTCTTCTACTCTTCCATTCTGTTCTGCACAGGGCTGGTGAGAGTTAATTGTGTGACGTGTTATCCCAATTCCTTCTTCTTCTTCATCAGTCCTCTCACTAGATGATGTTAATTGTTCTGGTGATACATTGCTTGAACTGGAGAAGTAGTATTCATTTCCATTTTTCTGTAAACAAAAGCCATCTAATAGTCTGCCAGGTCCACTGCAAAGACTTGCCTCTGAACAAGTGGATTCAACCTCACTCACAACAGTTTTTGCTACTCTTATATTTGATTTTGAATAATTACAAACTTGAATAATTCCACTTTCTTCTGAATCATAATCCGATTGCGGTGTTGTAACACCTCCTTCACCGCTATCTTTGACCTCTTCGACAGTATTCATCACCAAGTCATGGGCCTTTTTTTTGCTCTTGCTTTGAATATCCTTATTATCAATGTCAACAAGAACATCCTTGTCATTAACATCCGAGTTCAGTTTGTCTTTCTTAGTCATATTCTTATGCTGTCTAGCGCCACTACTAGTCCTACGCTTTTTACTAGCCCCTATTGAACTTTTCCCTTTCTTCAATTTTCTCTTTACACCTGTTGTGTTAACCATTGGTAACTCTTCATTTTCTTTCCACAATGTTTTGCGAGTGTTTGGAACAAGTATGTTCATATTTGGAGTGAAATGTTTACTCCTTGATCCATAAAAGCTAATAGGGGTGAAGCCATTTGATTGCAATTGCAAAATCTCACCGACCTCTGTTCCATTGAGTTCCTGATTGTCTACAGTTGTCAAAGAAGTCACATCATTTTTTGCATCATGACCATTAATACTTTCTTCAGGTGACTGAGATCTGTCACTGTCAAATGATTCTTCAGTTTTAGAAGCAAACATCTCACAGTCAATATCTTTTATGAGATCAGGAGTCAGTCCAACTGTTACTTTCTGCATTATAACCTTCAGTCTACAAAAAGTAAATAAACCTAAAATTGATAAGGATGTAAGTAAACAGATAATAAACCATACCATAATTGCAAATGGGTATATATTTCGTTAAAGGGGATATTAAGAAAGTGGCATGGTCTACGTTCTCATCAACAACAACGGTTGTCATCACAGTGGTCAAAATGCTGTGGACTTGTGAAGCCCAGCCAATAAGCACTAAAACAAAGATAATTTTAATCCAGTTTTTTATTTTCTCTATTCAAAAGCCGTTCTGGGGTAGTTTCCTTATTACTTTATAAAGTATTCAGTCACCAAATTGTAGACAAAAAAATTAGATTGAATTTTCTTTACAAGCTTTCACTTCTGAAATAAAATTTCACATTAACCCTAGGTCATCTTAACGCAACTTTGAACAACTAGACCCTGAGCTGTAAAATATGTACACTCGGCTGTCTTCAAATAAGCAAACCCTCTTCATTTGTTCTTCGATATGGTTTTTTTCTTTAGCAAACGATATTCCATACACATCCCACACAAAAAAAAATCTTCATAACGAATTTGAAGATTAATCAGCGCAAGGAAGCACTAGTTCATACACAACTATATAGACTTAGGTCTGCTAATCTGATTTAGTAAATCGAAACTTAGTCTAATCTTAAACTTTTGAACATCACGACATGTGAGCAGCAAAACGCCTACCTCTCAGTTTCATTGATTTGTTTAATGTTCCTTCCAGACATCGCAGATTCTCCTGAAGAAGCCGAAATCTTCCCTTTGGCCATTGCAGGGCTTCGTTCGTCCCTGATGGTGGGAGTTCAGAAATAGAAATGACGAAGAAATTTAAAGGAATTATGCTCCAATGATAGGGATCTCAAATCGGTGGCCTGACATTTTTTTCTTTAAGAAAGGACTAAGTTCTTCTGTCTTTATTAACTTGACCACGAAGCAAACTTTCTGGAATCCGAACAAGTCACACAAACGGAGCATTGCATTTCCTGTCGTCCGCCATCTTGTCTCTTTCAAACATTGCATGAATTTTCGCGCGCAACAAACTCCAAGGGACTTGTGGGTTGTGAACAGCTGGGCAGCCAGGCCCGTCTGGGAGAACTACATCGGGGAACCTCGGGGTGACAGCTCACTGAGCCCAACTCAAACGTTATCTCAATTCGTCTCCGATTTCTGACTTGACATGAATTATGACAATCCAGTGAGAATGGACGGCTCGGTACATCTTGTTGTCCTTATGAAAGAGAAAAATCACCGTTTCATGCACTTTCCCTCGAATAATAACATCCATCAACTTAAACACGAAGGCGCGCTATAAAAGGAGCCTTAGGTCCCACTGGACCATTTGTCAATCAACCGTCGTGTGATGTAGAACTATTAGAGTCGAGTTAGCTTGAGCTACAGCTACTCCAAAGCAGTGAACAGCGGGCGCATTCCTCAAAATTGTTTTATGTCTTCATCACAATACAAGAATTTTTGAGATTTGTATTTCCTTTCTCCAATGGAAACTGTCTTTATTTGTGGCGGTAAATTTGAGATCGAAGTAGGTGGTTCGCACGTTACCTAATGCCACCATGCTGGTGGAAGTAAACAATAGATATCTCATTAGCTCTTTTTGTTCGTCTACCAGCATTTGAATTTGACCCGCACACGTCAACGGCGAGTGACAAATGAGCCCAGGTCTTCCCGGGGAAGACTTCCTTATATAGCGCGCCTTCGTGTTTAAAAACAGAAATGTTGATTTAAAAGACTGGGCAGTTGGCGTACGAGAGGAATGCGTTCATCAACTTTGGATACTTCGACAGATGATAAGAGCACTTGTAATGAGGGAGTGAGGCACACTAACTATGAGAGCACTAATTAAATACTTAGGACTTCTTCTCCCTCCAATATCTAAGGGTCATGAAATAATGTGGACTATATATGTACTTGCTTCTGGAGGGAGAAGAGCAGTTATAAAACTATCTACAGAAAAACAACAATAACAAAACGCGAACCTAGTATTCTGCTAAAAGAACTTAATGATCACTAAATCATATTTTCCCACCGAGACAATGGTATAACATGTCAGTTCTGGATTCTTCTCAATCCAAATTAACTGGTGGGTACAATTAAGGAAGAGGATGCAAGGAACCACTCGGATATGTCGTCAGTAAGAGAGAAACCTTAGTGTTGTTTAAGTTTTATTTCTCTTTATTTTTCGAAAGAAACTCATTCGTTAAGTCAAACTCCCAGTCGATATCAAGTGAACGAAAGAAGGATGCTGGTCCCCACGCAGGCATAGTCGTATATTTTCATAATTTTTCAGGTGAGCTCCGGGATTTCCTAGTTCTTTGGACGTTATCTAGACTGTGTTTGGAGTCGCCTATCTCAGTGAAAGGTATACCCGTGTTTCCGAGCCTGATACGCGTAATCCCGGGTTTCAAAGTTACAAGGTACAGATTATAATAATTACAAATAGCGGTATCGATAGCCAAGTCTTTAATGAAGTAGAAGATCTTTATTAATTTTTTTGCGTGATAATAGAAGTTACTTACAAACAGTCACATTAGTGAAAATAAAAACATGGTTTGTCCACCAATGTTTTCATTATCAATCATCCGCTCTTACTGATAATGTATTCTTAAAAATACCTGACCCTTAAAGTAGAATCCCTTTACCCTTTTGTAATCAGCGAATAAATCTGTTATGCAAGTTTAGGCCAAAGATGAAAAAAAATCTCTTCCTCAAACGGAATTGAATGAAATTAACACCGTACACGGTTGGAAACGACTTGAGAGTTGCAACACTTTTGAGTGTGAGGAACGTACAAGACATTGCCACATGGGAGCCTGAAACAGGGAAGTTGGTGATGAATTATTTGACCAAAGCAACATTTTTGTGTCTTTGAACTAAAAGAAATGCCCCCACACCGGGAAGGAATCGGATATGGAGAGCATCGTGTATTTTTGGGAAGGACTTGGCCGTGGCAGCATTGCTGAGTGTGAGAAACGAAGAAAGCCTGTCCACATGGCAGTCGGGTACAGAAGGCTTGGATGGGTACTTTCTGCCCAAAGCAACAGCTCTCAATCTGTGGATTGTATGGAAGGCCTCCACACTGGTTTGGATTTGGGGATCCTGAGCAAGGTATGGTCCTGGAAATAACTTGAGCATGGCAACATTGCTGGGTATGAGGGACATAGAGAGCCTGGCCACAGGGCAATCGGTTACATGAAATATGGTAAGGCACTATCTGACCAAAGCAACATCGGTGGGTAATAGGATCGTAGGAAAAACCACCACATCGGAAGTGGGTCGGAAATGGCGTGCATGGAATGGTTCTTGGAATAACTTGACCACGGCAACATTGTTGGCTATACGGGACGTATAGAGCTTGTCCGCAAGGTAGTCTGATACAAGGAACATGGATGGGCAGTATTTGGTTGAAACAACATTTGTGGGTTAGTGGATTAAAGCCTAAACCACCACACTGAGGAGAAACAGAGGATGGAACACAAGGTACAGTTTTCGGAATGATTTTAGAACTGCAGCATAGTTGAGTATGAGGTACATAGAAGGCCTGTCCGCAAGGAAGTCTTGTACAAGAAACATGGAAGGGTACAATTTGCCCAAAGCAACATTTGTGAGTCTGTGGATCGTAGGAAAAGCCACCACATTGGGATGAGGTCGGGAATTGCGGACAAGGTACAGCTCTAGGGATGACTCGAGAATGGCAGCATCGTTGAGTATAGGGAAGGTAGTAAGATTGTCCACAAGGTAGTTTAGTACAAGGAAGTTGGTATGGTACAATTTGGCCAAAGCAACACTTGTGGGTCCGAGGATTGTAGGCAAAGCCACCACATTGAAGAGGCACCGGGGATGGAATGCATGGAACAGCTTTTGGGATGACTTTTGAATTACAGCATTGTTGATTATGAGGGACGTAGAGGGCTTGTCCGCAAGGAACTCTCGTACAAGGAACATGAAAGGGTATAATTTGCCCAAAGCAACATCTGTGAGTCTGTGGATTGTAGGAAAAACCGCCACATTGAAATGAGGTCGGAAATTGAGGACAAGGTACAGCTCTAGGGATGACTCTTAGGTGGCAGCATTGTTGAGTGTAGGGAACGTGGTATGCTTGTCCGCAAGGCAGCCTGGTACAGGGGACATTCATCGGTAGAATTTGGTTGAAGCAACATTTATGAGTGTTTTGATTATAGTAAAAGTTACCACATCGTGCTGACGTCGTGGGTGGTTTACACGGTGTGCTCTTAAGAATGACTTGACCATTGCAGCATTGCTGAGTGTGAGAAACATATGCAGAAGTTTTACAGGGCAACCTTGAACAAGTGATTTGAATGGGTATTAATTGACCAAAGCAACATTTGTGACTCTGTGGATCGTAAGGAAGTTTGCCACACTGTTGCGTCTGAGGTGTACACTTCGAGGTCTTGGGTATTATTTGGCCGTTGCAGCATTGTTGATTGAAAGAAAGATAAGGTACTTTTGCGCATGTCAGTCTCTTACACTTAACTCCAAATGGAATCAGCTGTTTAAAGCAACACCCCTGTTTGTAGCGGTTGTATGCATGACCTCCACATTTACGGAGAAAAATTCGCGACCTTTTCGTATCATTTGGATTATCCTCTGCAAGAGATAGGAAAAGATCTTTATCATTTAAATGAAAATACATAGCTTAGATCTATATTTAAGCTAAGAGCTTGCTGATCCATGCTTCAAAATGGAGACATGTTTGAAAATTATATGAGCCGTAAATACGTACATGAATCAAGTAATCATAGGAGTTTTATTGTGTACTGACAGACTCGGAAGTTCAATACTGAAATTAGTTACGGAGAAGTAGCTATAGCTCCATTGATCCTGGAAAAGACTAATCAAGTGGAACTGCATGGGGAGAAAGCTTTAATGAAAGAAGAATCATTGCTTTATCGATTATACTGCTTAAGTGACAAGGGATCATGAAAGCCGTGGAGTTACGACTGAAACCTTACCTTCATCATCAAAGTTGTCTTCTGTTTCTTCCGGATATTTTTCTTCGACATTATAATCTTTGCTTACTTCTACTGAGACAGAGAAAAAAATTGATTAATCTTTGAAATAAAGACACTAAGTTTTCTCCAATAATTCTGTGGAAGGATTTAAATTTACCTCAATGAGCGTTTTTGAGCATATAACGTAGTCGGGAGTGGTAAGTAAGAGCGAAGAAACCGCGAAATTTGCGAAATATTGACCGACTCATTTTAGACAAAATTAAAATAAATACTTTTACACATCGTTGGTACTCATATGGCGCAGAAACCTTCTCTTGTTATAAATCTATTAAAACAGAGTAGCAAGCTCCAGAAACCCTTCAACCTCAGAGTGATCTTCGCCAAACCAAAACGATCACTGTAATACAGATAGTGGTCAACTCGAGGCCATTGTCGTACCATTTTCCCGCATACGTAGCTCCGAAATCAATTTTAGTAGCTCGTAATTTGCAAGGGTAGTTTTGATTTTAAACGAACGAACTTGTAAATATACTTATGGTCTTGCTTGATTACTGAGCTTTGATTATTCAACAGCCATTTCAAAACCTTATTACTACTGGCATCAGTGGTGAACTGAGTTTACTGCCGGGAAAAAATTTTTATAGGTTCCTGCTGATGGATAAAATTTCTTACCAGCTTCATGGTTTTCTTCGTCGATGAAGTCCTCGCTTTCCTGTTGGTTACTTTCATCCTCTTTGCTTTCGCTGGGTCCTAAAAGGATATAAATTTTGTTATTTGTTGTTTTGGCTTTTTGTTAGCATGTTTATACTACCTCTGCTAGCTAGGTATTAGAAAACTACCCTTTAAGAAACGCATCGGTGACACAGTGATGTTTTCACAAAGAAAGAAAAGATGAATTAAAAATTCAATTAAAGAACGAAGGCTTTTTATCTTGATCATAAGATTTTATAGGAACTACCCACGCGACGCGGTTATAATTACAGCGGCAGCCAACGCGAAGAAAATCAGCTCAAATCCAATACGAAAATTGGTGAATGACAAGTGAATTAAGCATGATCTAGGTCTGACTTATCACCTTGCATCTCATTTGAATGAGACAGAGCTTCTTCTTCTTGGACCTCATGGTGGTTTATTTGAAGTTCTTCGCTGGTTAAAATCTTCTCTTCGGCGTTTGCCAATAGCAGTGGGGTAACAGCAAGAATAAAAGCAGTGATTCCACATAGAATTCGAGCCATTTTTAGTCAAGAACACCAAGTTCAGTAACTAATGCCAGAAAAGAAAAAAACCACTCCCTTTTATACAGTCCTCACACTCTTAATTATTCGCTGACCTCGCTGAAAAAAGAAACAATTGCGTTTATATTAACATGCATATATTGCCCTTAGTGGCTTGAGGTTTAGATTAAGTAACCATGGATAAAAAAAGGAGAATGATTATTTTTTACCATAGGCACTAAATTAATCACATGATATGTGATTATTTTAGACTCCTCTTCTTTTAAGCACTTCTTTGCGTTTACAAAGATTTTCGCGTTTGTTCTTGTTTACGTTTGGCTTTATTCAATTTCATATCATTATTTAGTTAAAGGTGTGCGTTGAATAACAAAGAGGAGAATTTCAAATAGAATTTGAAAAAACACTGGTGATGACCTTCGGCCCTCGAATGACGCAATATCAAACTTGTGCCGGACAGGCTTTTCTCAGTTTCTGACTGATGTATTCAATAGAAGTGATTTTCTGTGATAATGTGTGACTGCATTTTTATTGGGGAAAACAAGATGCTTTGTTTGAATCATGAAACTCAAAAGGCAAACCGTAGTTAAAGATTGGGATAACAAATCTGAAAAACAGCATGGTAGAATAAAAGTGGAGGAAAAGAACTCGGGTTTATAAATCTTGTGTAACGAGTTTGATGGTAAAAGATCGGAAGACAACAAACTTGTTGTAAGGTTCCAGCGTCGTAATATATTGGAAGTATCGATACATCCATCTCGTTAAATAGTTTGAAGACTGTAACAAGCTGAAAGAAGAACCTCGTGTAAGATTAAACTCACTTATGCTGCCTCGCCATGCACGTCACACATAATCTGGACGATTCTGACGAAAACCGAAATAATCATTCAATATAATTAACGTTTTTATAGTATAGTATCTCAAGATTTCTAAAAAAAAAAGTATGCAACTGCAATTGTGGCTCAGTCCGAAGGAATATGTACAAACTGTGTTTTTATGTTAGATCAGTCAATTGAGAAAGCCACAAGGACAACTGCCATAATAGATCGAGCGAGATTGTCTTAAGAAAGGGGTTCAATTGGGGATGTTTTACCTATAGCTTCAACAAGATATTTTAAATAAAGTCACGTTTTGAACAAGTACTCGTCATTTTTTGATGAGTACCCCCATACTCAATTTGCGTCAACAATCGTTTCACACTTGAGAGGACTTGAGTTCGAAATAATAATTCTGATAAGTATCATAAGTCGGTGCACGATCAAAATAGATGTAACAGGACTTCATACGGTGGACTTAACTGAGGATGAAGGTCCTAGAGGAAATCTCTAAAGATCGACAAATTGTCGTTGAATTATCAAAACTGATCTTTAAAGTTAACACTTTTTGGAATGAATAGGGTTGAATATTAACTCTTTTGACTCCTGAAAGTTGCTAGCATCTAATATTTCCTCTGAATCAAACAATAAGGTCGCTAGATAGAGGAAGATCAGCAACTATGAAAGCTCTTGTTTGTCAACAAATTTTCCTCACTTGTATTCTCAGCAGCTTCAGTAAGAAATAAAGAACTGTAGGGAGAATGTGCATATTGATGTAAGGGTATAAAGGGTAAGTGTGAGAAGAAATGGAAATATGTAGTGTCTATTTTAAAATTAGAGTTTTCTGTGGATGGCCAAGTTTGGTCGTGGGACGCGTTACTATTCAGCCCATGTTGTGAGACTTTTTGAGACTCCAGCAAACAAAAGAGCTATTTTTTAATGATGATAGTGGCAACCACTTGTATTCGTAAGTTCCTTAATTACGCTCATCGGAAGTTCAAATATCAATATTGCTTATTTTAGTTTCTCAGTGGTTTGAGTGCAGTTTGGTTTTTGTTTCCAATGAGTTCTCCCGAATCGTTCTGAGAAAATCGTCGTAAGAAGTTTTCATCAGTTTAACGCCTCCTTGTTCCACCATTGGAGGCTTCCATCAATATGTTTCAAACCTCCGCTCCGTTCCTGAAACCTAATCGGGCACATTTAAACCACATAACCATGAAACGCTCGTGAGGTTTTCATCAAAGTGATTTCACAACGATAAGTTTTATTTTATTTTTAGTAAACCGCTCATCGACAATCAAGCAGCTTAAATTGGCTGCGTCAATCACTACTCTATAATGATAAATACTTAATATAGTCTCAATATTTATTTGAGTTTGATTCAGTATTGTTTCCTTAGGGAATTTATGATACTTGTTAACTAGCTGGTGAGATGGGACAGTCCTTGACCTTTCCATTCTCCTCCACCCCATCTATATCGCCGGGCGTATTCGCCCTAAAAACGTTTATTGTCATTGTTGTTGGATCCTGTATAAAGAATCCGGAAGCTCAGTTCCACCTATGGACGTCTTTACAACACTAGTCGTGTGTTTAAACTCTCACAGAGACCAGTTCATATTCATCTCCTCCTTACAAGGCTGACAACTTACACTTTTCTTCTGTTTCCCGATCGATCGAGAGCGTCCATGACAGCTCGGAAAACGCGTGCACAGTAAGTACCTCTCGTTGTCCCATACAAAGCCTTAGAAAACTTTTCGAAGGCTTAGTGCGGGAAAAAAGGAGGTACTTACAGTGCACGCGTTTTCCTTGCTGTTATGTTCTGCTGATGGGAACTTTACGAAACTTGATTAGAGCATTAGTCATCGGTTTTACGTCAGAGAGAAAAATCAATGAAGCGAGAGAATGCAAATGCAGTCATACGATATTGCAACAAATCCTGATGGTCAAAGATCCTGGTGGTTCAGTTAATCTGCAGTACTTGTCACTTGTACTTGTTTGAACTGAGATGCTTAGAATGTAGATGTTTAGCTTGTAGGTGATACGAAAAACTCACGGAAAGAGTCGGAGTATCTATCAATTGAATATTGAAATAACTTTTGTCGACTCCCTACTATAAGTACTATTATTACATCGCCATCAGCGCCTGTGGGCAAGAGGAAGCGAATCCTGTGTTCTGATTGGCTACCTGAGGGGGCAAGATGGGCCCATCTTGCCTGCTCGGGATTGCCCGCATTCATCCCGCGCATGAAAAAAATTGAATTAGAACTACGTTTGTCATACCGCATACGCATATGCCATAGGCATACGCATATGCCATACCGCATACGTATAAGGTCCTAACCATTCTAAACAACACAAGGCAATCTGCGGTCTTTCCTTACACTTAGGTTGCACGGAAAGCCGGAAAACTCTTGAACAAAAGCTTATCTTTCAAACCGGCAGTCTAAATCCCACAGGTATCAACGAACGCTTTTCATTCCACTAATTTATTCGTGTTTTTCTCGTTGCCATGTTCCCACCAATAACGTAGCTCCTTTTTCTGCCTTTAAAAGCACAAACAACCCACAATTCCCCTATTCGCTCCGACGAAGGGCTAACGCTCGAAACGTCAGCTTTTATAATCGTAACGGTGGCCAATTTACCATTTCAACTTTGTTGATATATTCATATTATTTCGTTACCCCCACCGACGCAGCCCCAGACAGTTTCTTTAGAAACTATCAGCCTCGATCTATTAAGGGTCAAGTTGTACACAAATTTACCCTAAGGGAAACGAAAACTGGTTTGACGGGGGAATGAATTACCTAAGGTGCAAGTTACCGAGGGTGAAATCCTAGCTAGCTTTAGACGGAAGTCTGGGAGGTTCCATTTTGCCCTTAGTTATCGCGAGGTTTGAGACAGGAAGGATTCGACTTGTTGAGAGTTAACTGTAGTGGTTAAATTCACAAGTCAGTGATTACTAGACAACTTAAGGTGGTTGGAAAGCCAGTGGGCCAATGATAAAAAAAATCTTCCAAACCCTACGATAAGCACCAGGAAGAAACTACAAGTGTGTAAAAAAACTTCCAAACGGTTTTATTATGAAATCAATAAATTTGCACTGGTTAAAGTTTGCGACCAATAACTCCAGCTTATTTCGACTGGGAATTTTAAAATCGAGCACAATGCACGATAAGAGAATACAAAGATATAACAATGTTCTTGAATAACACTGATAAACCATAGATAATCGATGCATAGTGTTCTTTACCCATACGCATTGCACCGAACAAAGTTAGGGACAATCTGGTTTCCATGGCAGCATTTAGAACCAGATGGGATAAAAAAGGCACGGCCACATCTACGACAGGTTGATCGCAGGGGAGCCACGACGTTTCTTCGGCAACACCGTTGAAACGAAGGATTGAAGATGTTGCGTCCACAAAATCGATGTCGATAGGGATTCGGAACAGGACATACCTGGAATTTGGGATAAATTTGTCCGCTGCAGCATTTGTGACTTTTTGGATTGAAATTGAGGCCGCCACACTTGAACGGTATACAGAGTGCACTTGCAGGAAGCACTTGGCCGTTGCAGCATTGCTGGTGTTGCGGATAGTAGAAGGTGTGTCCACAGGGAGTCCTAGCCGAACAAGGGGAACGTAAAGGAACCACTCGACTCAAGCAGCATTTATATCTCTGTGGATTAAAGGGGACATTACCACACATAGACTGTGTCGGACAAACGGAATCCAGGGGTACCAACTGTTGAAAGCAACACTTGTATTGCTGTGGATTGAAGGGGACATTACCACACTTGGACTGTGTCGGACAAGCAGAATGCAGGGGTACCAACTGTTGAAAGCAACACTTGTATTGTTGTGGATTGAAGAGAACTTGGCCACACTTGGCCTTTACAGGAAATGGAAAACAAGTCTGTCCCCTTGGTATTACTTTACCATTGCAACATCGATGGGAGAAAGTCATGTAGTTCGTTCGTCCACAACGCCTTCGTCTACATCTCTGTCGTCTGGGAATCACTTGCCTAAAGCAACATCTTTCATATCTACGGTTAAATAAACTGTGACCGCATTTTCCCATGCGTCGACTACACTGGCCCTTGAGCACAATGACCCCACGGCAACAGGTTTTTATTGAAGGCTTGTCGATTAATTTTCCCGCACAACATGAAGGACTATTGCGCATGCTATATGGGCAGGCAATCGTGGTAACGTAAGGTCTCGGGCGAAATCTTTGTCTCTTCTCTATATTATAGCCTTTACTTTGATCTACGGATTAAAATGAGAACACTAAATTAGTTCGACTGCTAAGATCAAGTTGTTTCATTTGCAAATAGGCACTTTATTTTTAGTACAACCAAAGTCGTTTTTTTTCTTGTTTTGTTTTGCTTCATAGCAAAGTTAATATGTTAGAAACTGCGAAAACATGTCAGGGTCAAAAGATTTAACAACTACAGTGACCAGTAGACATTCAGTGATACTCGTCTTTTGAGAGAATATCGTAAGTTCAAACGCACACCTAGACTGCTTAACCTGTTTCATTCCCCGAAAGATCAAAACATAAATTCTCAGCACTGTCTCTCATGCATTTCTCTTCATTTTTGAGTTGGGAATTTGGTGCTAAATCAAACCATATCGTTAAATTAACATTTTTCTTTTTTCTCATCTCGTTTCTGCTTTAAAACGTATTGATAAAGAAAGGAGAAATTCCTTTTTAGTCACTCGGGAACCAAAAGGTTAAAGAATGGAAGTGCTAAATTCTTCACCTTGTAACAATTCCGATGAGTTATCATCCTCCAACTTTGTGCTCGTACTTATTGGCTCGAACTCACCGTCGAGGGAAATGGTTTCTTCTTTGGCGCGAATAACTGTCAGCGAGGATAAAGAAATAAGGAGCGCCAACGACATCATTTTAAAGTACGCCATCATTCTTCTCTGCTACTTTGCACTGAAACTTGTTCCCTACCCTGAGATTATTCCCCCTCTTATACCGTTTTTTTAGGTCCTGTCAGTGGATTTACATAATATTTAGGTGGGCGGAAAGCAAAAGGCAGAACAATGCACTTGAAGATAATTTTAGTTTGCGTGTTAATATAAGAATCATCTAAGTCTATTTTGATTAATCATTTCTGCAATATTCTAAGTGTTTGCGTCATCTTTTACAGCAATATCGGTCAAATATTCCTCTTAATCAACTTAGTCTTCAATGTACATGGATCAATGTTCATAATAGAGTGGTGGAAAATTTTCAGCATATTAATCCAATGAGAGCAATTTAAGTTGATCCCAAACAGTGAAAAAAATAGAAATTAACTACAAAAGTTGATATTATATGTTTACTAGTAACAAGAAATCAATTAACTTCGAATGCAATTTGGAAAACATTACAAATTGCATCCGCCCTGGGGAACTAGCGGGAATTTCTTTTGTCTTAGAAGAATTTACTCGCCGTTGTACGACCTCACGCGAACCAGGACGATGACTGCTACGAGAACGTTTTGAAAAAAAGGAGATGCTTTAATGAGAAGAACAATACCTCTGTGCGTGCGTTTGAAAATTTTGTCTATTTCCTAGTTTTCCTCTGCTAAACCGCAAGGTGAAATCACTGAATATTGCATAACCCTGCGGTAAAATTAGTCACATTCCTACTTGGACCTCCGCGATGCCTTCATATATTACACCAAAGTGGAGGTCTGACGCCGAGGCTATTAAAAATGGTAAAGACATCGAGTCTACCCAAAATTCACAGCACAGAACCAAGCTCATTATTTTGATAAAAGTTTTCATCGGGGACGCCGTCATAATTGCGTAAGGGCACTATCGTATATACCTAAACAAATGAAATGACTTCCTTTTGAATAAACTGACAATATCTTTATTTCTGAATTAGAAATATTTGATATTACGAAGGTCTTGACGTAAGTTGTATCAAGTGAGTTACGTTCCAGTATATAAAGCTGTGTTGTTTTAATTGCTCTATCAGCTGTATATTTGTTCAAGGCTAGGAGGCCAATTACAACTGTTCTTTCCATTTGTCTATGTCATAATAAACAAGGATCACATGAAAGCGCCACTTTGATTTACAATATTCTCTCTTTTAGAATCAAAGTTGATGCTTAATTAGTCAAACATGCTTGTTTAGGCTAAGCAGTTTTCCCCCTTTCTTCGGTTGTGTCTGCAAGTCTGAAGAAAAACAGACAAAAAAAACAAACAAACAAAAAAAAAATCCAAAGCTCTCATGACTAGAGTACATATCGATCGAATGTCGTAAAAGAAAAATAAAATTAATGCAGCAAAAAATAAAATTGTTGGAATATCCTTCCGTTTCTGAAGTTTCGACGCACGTGGTCTGACTGTTTAACCAATCGCGTTACGAGATCTTGACCTTGACTTTGAAGTTGGAATGGACTCATTAATGCTCGTTTGCTGAGTCGAGTCGAGATTTTGGAGGTTTTTGTCAACTCAAATTTTCCACTTTTTTTGCTTAAAGTAGAGGACTTTTTCGGAGGCTTAATAACACGTTTATTTACGGAGAATGGAAAATGGCATTTTTCAAGAAGTAAAGACAAGTACACGAAGACAAGAATGCAAAATAATATTTGACTCAAACTTGTTCTTGATTTTCCATCCTATTGGATCAGGAGAGAATAGGATGATTGGTTTCATCTAAAACATCTAAAAAAAGAAAGACATTGACGTATGCTGCGGTCAGTTTTCCTCACTAGACACACGCAATATGCCCGCTGAAACACTCGTTTGCAATATTCAGCATTTCAGTCCCCAGAGGAGGGGAAGTGCAAGGCGACTGGCTGTCAGTATGGTGAAGAATAGGCGGTATTTTGCATTGGTTTCAGGCGTTTTAGCAGATTCGAAAGTTTGCGATATTGCAATGTACAATATGCTTCTTCTGACTCTACTTTGTACCAAGAACATCAATCGAGTTTTGAATTTGGCGAATTTTACGCATAATCCTTGTTCCATTAACAAAAATTTAATTTCCGGTGGAGAATAATTCTTTGCAGAATAAAACGTCGACAAACGTTCACTTCCGGCCTCCTGATGAATAAGAAAATCTGCATGCGACCCAAGGAAGTATTTTTATTCGTCGTCTTCGGAATCACTCGAAATATCCAATAAGCATCTACAATGTAACCATCCTCTTTATTACTCGACGAGTTATATATTTTGGAAAAATATCAGGTTTCTTTCCTTATTTAAGCTCCACCGCTCGAAAAATAAAATCGCGAAAATCAGTTACCAGCAGAGATTTTAGTAGTCTCCCTCGCAGCCGTTTTTTTTTTGGATGTCACGGAGCGTTGTTGGGGGAGCGTTGCGTGACATCCAAAAAAAAACGGCTGCAAGGGAGACTAAGATTTCAATGACTTGTGCCCACTTCACAGAAACATCTCAGGGGGAGGACGCACCCTTGCCGTAAGAACTGTAAAGGATTGGAACAATTTGCTTTGATCACTAAAGACGAAGAAGTCTCTAGAATCCTATAAGGCTGAATGATGGAAAGGATAGTACTCAATTCTCAGAAGACAAAGGGATCGTTTGATATAACTTAATGACAATAGATAGATGTTTGCATGCTCTTTGTTTTAAATCGATTTGTCCAGTTATCAAATTCCAGAAATATTTTTGTTTTTACTTCTTTTGTAAATAGTATCTTTTGCTAATGTCGTTTTCATTATTTGCATTTTGTATTTTTTAGAGGGCCACAAGTTCATCAGTAATGTTAGTTACTGTTACGTTTAACCCTCATAAATTAAATTCCTCCTCTCCCCCCTCTCTCTCTCCCCCTCTCTCCCCCCCTCTCTCTC